ACAGACAGACAGACAGACAGACAGACAGACAGACAGACAGACAGACAGACAGACAGACAGACAGACAGACAGACAAGCTTAGACGGACAAGCAGATAGACAGGGACGGACGCTATACAGATAAACATTCTTTACTCACCTGTATATACACGCTTGCATATCTGTTGCCATTTACGATGCCCATGTATGAAGCATGGTAGATCTGAAACGACAGAGCCACAAAAAGTAGATAGCGTTATTATTTGACGTCATAGTTTTTGGAGCTTATTCAATTAGCGTAACTTTTTGAAAATGAAGCGAAACGGTAGCCTACACCGTTTCCGCTTCCGATTAGTATTAGTTTCGCAGATAGATAGACTTGTCTACAATATCAAAGACAAAGCACTCTGACACATTTCCGGTTTACCTAGGAGCGCACTATTTTGGCTCTATTACTGTTTGGAACCAAATAAGACAAAGAGGCAAGGAGACCGATGGTTTGCCTGTCATTTGCGTGTCTACAATAAACAAAAATCGTACATAACATGTACGATCTTTGCCACAATGCGTACTTGGGCGGCTAAGTTTTTATAGCTGGTAAAGAGCGGCGGCCATGACATCGTTCGTTCTAAGAAAATAATATCATAATTCAAGTCTATGGATCTACAAAGAAGGTTAATAGAATTGATAAGATTTAATACACTGTTAAAGCACGAAAGCCTCGACACATAATATTTACGCTTGAATTTTCAGACAAAGACCTTTATCAAAGGACGTACGATCTTTGCCTTTATTCCATACGGGCAGCACCCTCGTGTCTGCTGAACTAACAAGAAGTAGAAGGCAGACGGCTGAAGGTGATGCTCTGATGAGCTGAAGTATGGGAGACCACATGATCAAACTACTAACCTGTCTTAGGGTAAGGGGACATTCGTTTTTAGTTAAAAGTAAAAGTTTTGCGATTCTTGAGGCTAAAATAGTACATATAAGTGCCGAAGATTAGAGGTGATGCTAGAGAGTGAGAGTAACATACAAAGAAAAGAAGGAGGAGAACTAAGGACGATAGGTGTTTGATAGGAAAGAAAGCATTCCACGGCATCAGAGCACGCTCAAACCATTTGCAAGGATCTGTTAAATATTATATTAAATATACGATTTGAAGCATCATTATCTACAGATTGTCTGTCTGTCTATATGTCTGTCTGTCTGTCTGTCTATTTCTCTTTCTGTCTCTGTATGTCTGTCTGTCTCTCTTTCTGTCTCTGTCTGTCTGTCTGTCTCTCTCTGTCTCTCTGTCTCTCTGTCTCTCTGTCTCTCTCTCTCTCTCTCTCTCTCTCTCTCTCTCT